CTCCCAGTCTGTGGGGTGCTGGTGGTGGGGAGCAGGGGGAGAGGATGGTCCCAGGGGAGCGGGGTCCTGGGGAGGAGGGTGGGCTGCACGCACCGCCTTGTACTGGAAGAGCTGTGCCATCTCTGCTCGTGTCTCAGCACGGCCAGCACGGCCCTGCCAGTGCTCGGGCAGGTAATGAACGTGTGCCAGGACCCGCTGCAGCAGCTGCTCCGGGCACCACACCGCGTGCTCATCCGGGATGAAGGACCTGCAGGGCACAGCCGGGGCCCCACCTCAGCCCCTCCGCTGCCCACCCGGCCCCGCATGGCACGGCAGAGTCTGGCCCCAGCACCCACCCAGCCACAGTGACCCCAGCACCCACCTGGCCACCGTGACCCCAGCACCCACCCGGCCACAGTGACCCCAGCACCCACCTGGCCATGGTGACCCCAGCACACACCCGGGCACGGTGACCCCAGCACCCACCCGGCCATGGTGACCCAAGCACCCACTCAGCCACCATGACCCCAGCACCCACCTGGCCACTGTGACCCCAGCACCCACCCGGCCACAGTGACCCCAGCACCCACCCGGCCATGGTGACCCAAGCACCCACTCAGCCACCATGACCCCAGCACCCACCCGGCCACCGTGACCCCAGCACCCACCTGGCCACAGTGACCTCAGCACCTACCCGGCCATGGTGACCCCAGCACCCACTCAGCCACCATGACCCCAGCACCCACCTGGCCACGGTGACCACGAGCCCCAGCAGCGTGATGGCTGTCAGGATGTGCTGCACCGTCAGCACGTCCTCGTCGTACACGGTGAGCACGATGAGCACGGCCAGCACGGAGCCGGCGAAGAAGCCGATGTGGCGAGCCAGCACGGCCAGCAGCGGGCTGCTGAACGAGTCCATGTACCTGGTGGCGGGCGCGTGGCCGCGGCCCAGGCGCGCCTGCAGCTCGTGGCCCAGCTCGTTGAAGTGGCGCAGGTAGTGGCGCGCGTAGAGCGACCAGCGGCGCGCGCCCAGGCTGCCCGGGGCCCGCTTCAGCCCCTCGGCGTAGCTGAAGAAGGCGAGCAGCAGGCGCCAGCCCAGCACGCAGGGGCACAGCGCCAGGTTGGCCACCCCCAGCAGCACGGCCGCCCGCGCCAGCCCCCGCGCCAGCGCCCGCCGCGCGCCCGCCCGCTTCACCTGCGGCCGCAGGCTCCAGGTGTTCTGGAAGAGCGCGGCCGGGCCGCGGAACAGCAGCAGCTCCAGGTTGAACTGCAGCCCGCGCGTCAGGAACACCACGGGGCCCAGCAGCGGCAGGCGGAAGCGCACGGGCAGCAGGGATTTGTTGACCATGGCCACGGTGTAGTTGCGGAAGCGCAGGATGCGGTGGTGGATGTCGAGCTCCGTCAGCTCCCGGCGCGGCACGCACAGGGGCTGGCGCCGCTGCAGGGCCAGCAGCCGGGCCTGCACCGACTGCCAGCTGTGGTTACACAGCTCCTCCTGCGGCAACGGCACGGGCATGGGCACGGGGCACCCGCGGCACAGCGCCGCTCGGCACCGGTGTCACTCGGCATGGCCCTGTGCCCAGTGGCACCTTATGGCCCAGCCAGAGCCCAGCCCCTCTGTGGCACCTGACAGCCCAGCCCAGAGCCCAGTCCCCCCCAGTGTCACCTTACAGCCCAACCCAGCCCCCAGCCCCTCTGTGGCACCTGACAGCCCAGCCCAGAGCCCTGTTCCCCCGGCAGCCCCAGCCCCCTCACCGCGGGGATGCCCAGTGCTCGGATGTAGAAGCTGCGGATCTCCCAGTAGCCCACGAGGCGCCGCAGCGCCGTGACCAGGCGGCAGAGCCACACTGCGCCCGCCAGCACCAGCAGGAACAGCAGCCACCCGCTGCCACGGAGCCTGCGGGGACACGGGTGTCACCAGTGCCACTGGAACCCCCCCACAGACACACCGGTGCCAGCAGAACCAGGAGGCACCTGCTGACACAAAGCCCGTGGGGACACAAGTGTCAGCAGGGCCAACAAACCCCTCACAGGCAGCAGCCACCCACTGCCATGAAGCCTGCTGAAACACAGGTGTCACCAGTGCCACCAACCGCCTCGCTGCCATCTGCAGCCTCAGAGACTGCTGGGGACACGTCACCCACAGCACCAGGACGCGATGCAGCCACACCAGTGGCACCCTGACCCCGCAAAGCCACGCCGGTGGCGCTGGCACCTCTGCACGGCCGCGCAGGCGGCAGCAGGAGCCGTAGCCACCCACCACTGCTGACCCTCTGGGGACACGCGTGTCACCCACGCCGCTGGGAGCCCCCGTGTCCCCCCAGCACTGGTGTCCCCCGTGCCCCTGCCCACCTGCGGGCGCACTGTGGGGCGGGCAGCACGGCGTCGGGCAGCGTCACCTTGGCGCGCTCGGGGACGTGGCTGTGGTTGAGCGGGCGCGTGGCGAAGAGCACATCATAGTCCACGCAGCAGAGCAGGAACGTGCTGAAGGTGACCACGAACAGGAACTGCCTGGGGGCACGGGGGGTCAGCGGGAGCCCGGGGTCACGGCCACCCGGCACCGCACGGTGACAACGCGGCATCACTTACACCAGCTCCAGCACGTCCGAGAGCAGCACGCAGGCAAAGCCATTCCTCTGGTGGAACTGGTAGATGTGCGGGGGGGTTAAGGAGGCTATGAAGGAGTGATGGACCCCCCATGTCCCCCCTCCCATCCCCAGAGTCACCCCATGCTCCCCCATGTCCCCCACAGTGCCACCAGGGGCTGTGCCAGGATATCTTGGTGAAGAAACTGTCCAGGTCCTTAATGTGGTGCCACGAGTCTGGGGGGAAAAACACGGGGGGGTCAGGTGGGAATGTGATACCGCCCCCCCCCCCTGGGACCCCCGCGCCCCTCCCAGGACCCAGAAACACCTCCTGGGGTCCCCAAACAGCCCTTGGGACCCGGATCCCGCGCCAGACGGCACCCCAGTACCTGTCGGTCCTTCAGTGACGTGCAGCAGCAGCTGCTCCTCCTCCTCCTCGCCGGGGGGCGAGTCCTCCTCACAATCCTCCAGCCGCCGGTACTCCCGGTAGTCCCGGTCCTCCTCTCCCTGCTCCGCCATCACCTGCCAGGGAACGGGAGCGCCTGCCGCCGCCGTGGGGCCGCCGCCATGGGGCAGGCGGGGGGCGGAGGGGTCGGGGGCAGATGTGGGGCACCGGAAATGCCGCTGGGGTGCCGCGGCGCCGCCCGCGTGCCCCGAATTCGGGTGGCCTGAGCTGGCCCCGGCCGCGGGCAGGTGACACCGCAGGTGCCACCGGCCCGTCCTGTCCCACCGGCCAGGGCAGTGGCAGAGCCTGCCGTGACCCCGCAGGGCTCCCCGGGAGGGACCCCCTGCGAGGCCCGAGGGACCCCGATACTTCCCCAGCCGTCCCTCGGGCCACGCTGTGCTGCCCAGCCCGAGTGGGGGGGGGCGCCTCTCCCCACGGACCCCTGTGTCCACAGCCCCCCACACCCTTCACCCCACAGAGCCCCCCTCCCCACGGACCCGTGTACCCACAGACAGCCCGCAGACCCCACCCAGCACGGACACACCGCCCCGGAGCCGGGACCAGCTGAGCACCAGTCCCGAGCCCCGGTGGCCTCTCAATGCCTTGCGGAGCCCGGCCCGGGGAAGGACTGGACCCCCATCCCTCTGGGGCAGGGCAGGAGCCCGGACCTTGGGGCAGGAGGACAACCCCCCACAGGGGAGGACGGGACCCAAAACTCTTGGAAGGGACCCCAAACCCTTGGATGGGACCATCGCTCCCTGGGGAAGGGTGGGACCCCCACGCCTGGAGCAGAACGGGACCCCCCGTTCACCCCCCCCACGGTCCCCTTACCGCCGCCCCGCAGCGCCGCGCGTCACCAGCGTCCCCCGCGGTGGCCGCAGCCGCTGTCCGGCCAGGCCGGTGGCCGCGGGTGACACCGTCCGGCCCCACGTGTCCGGGGCTGACTCACGGCGCGGGGCTGATGCAGCAAGAGGGACGCGACCCCACTTGTGCAACACCCCTTGGGGACAGCGGCCGCGTCCCCCGGGATCGGGTGTCCCGGCGGGTGACATCGGCACGGCCCGTCCCCAACCAGCTCCGCATCGGGAAGCCAAAAATACCCGCGGAGCCCGAAAATAGCCCCGGAGGGTAAAGGGTGGGGGGGCCGGGGGATCCCCGGGCCGGGCGGCCGGGACACCCCCGGGGCCAGGGACACAGCCCAGGGGACGGAGGCACCCGAGGGACACGGCGGCCGCCGGCAGTGGCCCCGGTGACCCTGCCGGGACACACGTGCGTTTCCGCAGCGTCACCTGTGCCACGGGGACCCCCGCGACTCCGCACGGGGACGCGGACATCTGCCCGTGGGGACACGGCAGGTGACACCCCCGCGGTGACACGAGCCCCGGTGGTGACACATGGCTGTGCCTACGGGGCTCGTCAGTGACCCCCGCGAGTGCCCCGGGACCACACGTGGGGACCGCCAGGGCCGCAGGGGACACACCGGGTCCCGGGGCAGCGGCCGGGCTGAGGGACCCCGGGAAGAGCGGCGTGACCCCGCTCTGGGGACAGCGGGGCTCCGCCGCCCCGGTACGCGCCGCCCCGTCCCTGCTCACCTGGCGCTCGGTGCCGGCCCGGTCCCGCCGGTGCCGGGCGCTCAGGGGGCCCCGCGCTCGCCCCGGGCCCCGCCGCCGGCCATGGCCGCACCGGCAGCAGCCCGGGCAGCGGCGGGGTCGGGGGTGCCGGTGCGCGCTCCGAGCTCCGCCGCGGGTTCCGGTGCGGGTCCGGCGGTCCGGAGGCGGCCCCGGGGAGGAGCGGGTGTGCCGGGCCCGGGGATCGGCGGGGTCAGGGCGCGGAGCCCGGGAAGGGCCCGAGGCGGCGGAGCGGGGCCGGTGCGGGTCGGGGCCGGCGCAGGGCCCGGGCCGCGGTGTTGGGCTCCGCCCGCCCGGGCCCGCCCCGGGCCCGCCCCGCGGCGCCCGGTGCCGCCCCCGGAGCCGCCCCCGCCCGGAGCCGCCATGCCGCTGCCGGTGCTCTTGCTGCGGGCAGCGGGCGCTTGGACCCGGCTCCGGCCGCCCTCCGTGCCGGGGCGCAGGTACCGGGGGAGCGCGGTGCATCCCGGGCGGATCCCGGAGCCTCGGCTGCCTTGGGAACCCCAACTCCTGCTGGCAGAAGCCCCGAGTCGGGGGTCCCGGGGGTCCCGGGGGTGCGAGTCGGGCTGCGGGGGAGCCAGGGGTGCCGGGAACCCGCGGTGGCTCCCGGACACCGGGATCCCTGCGCGGGGACCGCGGGGAGGCCGGGGCTCCGGGAGGTTACGGGGTCCGGGGGCTTCCCGGAGCAGCGGGACGGGAATCGGAGCGGGGGCAACACGTGGGCAGGTGCTGGGGAGCCCCGGGCTGCCCTGGGAGGAGGAGCCCGCCGCTGGGTGCGGTGCGGTGCGGGGAGCTCGCACTCTGCAGCCCTGCGGCGTCCGGGAGCTTCCCAAACTCACGGGCCCTTGGGGTGGGGCCACCCCAACTCCTGGCGGGGGATTGGACTCCGGGATTCCGGGCGGTCCTGGGGGATCCTGGCTCCCTTGGAGGCAGGAACACAACTCCTGAGGGGGGAGATGGGATTCTGAGGTGCCTGGGCTGATCCCTGGGGGCTCCCCCAGGTTCATTTCATTCACCCCTCTCCCCAGTTTCAGGTATGGGGGGCGCCTGGGGCTGGCCGTGCCCCCCCGGCCGCCCCCCGCGCCCCCGGCCCCGCGCCGGCTGCTCCTGGTGGGCTCGGCCTCGGGCTGCGTGCTGCTGGGGCTGCTGCGCACGGCCGCGCGCTGCCAGGAGGCCACCACTGTCCCTGCTGTCCCCTCTGCTGCTCCCGAGCCGCCAGAGCCCCTCCCGGAGACCCCCTTTGACTGGCCACTGTTCTGGACCTTCCTGCGCCCGCAGCTCCTGGCGCTCTCCGCTGCTGTTGTGGTGAGCAGGGCGAGTGGGTGGCCATGGCCGCCCTTGTCCCCACTGTCCCTGTGTCACACCTGAGCTGTGGAGTAACACACTGCCCCAGTGCTGCAGCGTGATGGCCACTGTCCCACTGACATGGTGTGACACCCGCCATCCGCTGCCTGTCACTGTCCTGGTGCCACAGCGTGTTGGCCATGGTTCCTGTGCAGGGTGTAGCATGCCACGGTCCCCATGGCATGGTGTGGCAGCCACTGTCCTGGTGCCATTGTGTGACACCCACCATCCTGGTATCTGCTGATGTGTGACACGTGCTGTCCCAGTGGCACAGTGTGACAGCCACCATCCCAGTGCTGACACAAGATAGCCACTGTCTGGTGACATGGCATGACCCCCACTGTCCCAGTGCAATGGTGTGACACCCACTGTCCCAGTGCCATGGTGTGACCCCCACTGTCTCAGTGCAATGGTGTGACACCCCGTGCTGCTGTCCCGGTGCCATGACAGCCCTGTCCCTGTCCCTGTGTGTCCCCACAGCTGGCACTGGGCGCAGCCCTGCTCAACGTGCGCATCCCAGTGCTGCTGGGCCAGCTGGTGGACGTGGTGGCGCGGTGTGCCCGCGGCCACGTGGCCACCTACCTGCGGGAGGTGCGGCGCCCGGCCCTGCGCCTCCTCGCCGTCTACTGCCTGCAGGTGAGTGCCGACCCCCCAAAGGGCGGGTGGGGGGTCCCGGGGTGCCCCCCGGCCCTGCTGACCCCCCTGTCCCGCAGGGCCTGCTGACCTTCGGGTACATCGCGCTGCTGGCCCGCGTGGGCGAGCGGGTGGCCGGCAACATGCGCAAGGCTCTCTTCAGCGCCCTGCTCAGGTAACCCTGGCAGGGGTGGGGCACGGGAGAGGGGGTGCCCGGGGACCCCCACCCACCGCTCCCCCGGCAGGCAGGCAGGAGGTGGCCTTCTTTGATGCCACACGCACGGGGCAGCTGGTGACACGGCTGACGGCCGACATCCAGGAGTTCAAGTCTTCCTTCAAGCTGGCCGTCTCCCAGGTGAGCCTGGCCTCTCATCTCCTGGGCCAGCCTGGCCATGTCCCAGGTGAGCCCGGCCATCTCCTGGGCCAGCCTGGCCATGTCCCAGGTGAGCCCAGCCATCTCCTGGGCCAGCCCGGCAGTCCCCCCAGCCTCTGTGTCCCCCAGGGCCTGCGCAGCGGCACCCAGACCGCCGGCTGCTTCGTGTCTCTGTACCTGCTCTCGCCCAAGCTCACGGGGCTGCTGCTCGTGGCGCTGCCGGCGCTCGTGGGTGCCGGTGCCGTCATCGGCGCCTTCCTGCGCGGCCTGTCCCGCCAGGCTCAGGAGCAGGTAACCCTCACTGAGACCCCCTGCCCTGCCAGCCCCGAGCGTGGGCACGGGGCGTCTCTGATGTCCCCGCTGTCCCTGCAGGTGGCCAAGGCCACCGTGGTGGCCGACGAGGCGCTGGGCAACGTGCGGACGGTGCGCGCCTTCGCCATGGAGGAGCAGCAGGCAGGGTAAGGGCGAGGGTGGGCCCTGGGGGTGGTGGGCGTGGGGCAGAGGGGACCCCGGCCCACTCCTGCCCCAGGCTGTTCCGTGCCGAGGTGGACCGTGCCGGCCATCTGAGCGAGCAGCTGGGACTCGGCATCGCCGCCTTCCAGGGGCTCTCCAACCTGGCGCTCAACGGTCAGTGGGGTCACGCAGTGCGACCTGGGGGCGGTGGGTGGGACTCCCTTGGGCAGGACCTCCCCCATGCCCCTTCTGCATGTCCCCTTCAAATCCAGCTCTGCCCCCACCCCACAGGCATCGTCCTGGGAACCATCTTCGTGGGTGGCTCCCTGATGGCTGGAGACCAACTCTCACCCGGTGACCTCATGTCCTTCCTGGTGGCCTCACAGACAGTGCAAAGGTCAGGGCAGGGCCCAGCGGTGCCCCCAGAACCCCTGGTACCCCCTGTACCCTGCAGCCTGCCTGGGCACAGCCCCGAGCTCAACCTCTGCCCTTGTGCATCCCAGGTCCTTGGCCAGCATCTCCATCCTGATGGGCCAGGTAGGTGGGGTGAGGGGTCCTGGCACTCCCTGAGGCTGGGGATTCAGGTTTGGGGCTCTGGGGCTGCTTTCACCACCCTCCCTGTGGGTGAGATGGGGTCTGAGTGCCAGTGAGGTGGGGTCTGGGGGCCATGAGGTGCTCCTGCTGTCCCCCCACAGGTGGTGCGGGGTCTGAGTGCTGGTGCCCGTGTCTTGGAGCTGCTGAGACTGGAGCCCCTCGTGCCACTGCAGGGGGGTGCCACCATCCCTGCCCACTCCCTGCTTGGACGCATCTCCTTCAACCACGTCTCCTTCAGGTGAGTCCCAGCAGGCCCCTGCCTGGCCCCCATGGCTCTGAGCCACCCCATGGACAGGGGGATTGGCACCATGTCCCCACAGCCCTGCAGCTCCTGCTCTTCTCCCTGCAGTTACCCCACCCGGCCTGGCTACCCTGTCCTGAAGGACTTCAGCCTCACCCTGCCCCCCTGCCAGACCGTGGCCATCGTGGGCCCCTCAGGAGGAGGTACCAGCACCCCCACCTCTCCCTGGGCGCATCCTCCTGCAGCCCAGTCCTCTGCCCAGTGTGCCCAGTGTGTGCCAGGGACTGGGAGCCCCCCAGGGCTCTGGAGCAGGGGGGCTCAGGGGTCCCCTCCCCAGGGAAGTCAACGGTGGCAGCGCTGCTGGAGCGGTTCTACGAGCCCACGGCAGGAACCATCACCCTGGATGGGCACGACATCGCCGGCCTGGACCCCTCCTGGCTGCGGGGGCAGGTCATCGGCTTCATCAGCCAGGTGGGGACAGGAGTGCTGCTGGCCAGGGCCCCTGGTGTCCCTGGGCAAGGAGAGGGAGGTGGGGCTGGCTGGGCTCAGTGCTGAGGGCCGGGTGTGCTGCAGGAGCCGGTGCTGTTTGGCACCACCATCATGGAGAACATCCGCTTCGGGAAGCCAGGAGCCTCTGATGCCGAGGTGTACGAGGCTGCCCGGCTCGCCGACGCTGACGGCTTCATCCGCAGCTTCCCCGAGGGCTACGACACCATCGTGGGTATGGCCGGGGTGGGAGGGGCCAGCCCAGCTGAGGTGGTCCCGGTCCAGTGGGGACCCCGGTGCTGGTCGCTGCTGAGGTTCACAGGGAGCCGTGGCCGCGCTGGGCTCTGAGCAGGAGGGATGGGCTCCGGGTGTGGGGGGTCCTTGGCTGGGGGCCGGGCGGCGTCCCCGGGCTCTGTGGCACGGACACAGCGGGGATCCCCTGGCACGGTGCGGCGCAGCATCCCCACGGTGTCCCCGCGGTGTCCCCGCGGTGCCCTGCAGGCGAGCGCGGCACGGCGCTGTCCGGGGGGCAGAAGCAGCGCATCGCCATCGCCCGGGCGCTGCTCAAGGACCCGGCCGTGCTGATCCTGGACGAGGCCACGAGCGCGCTGGACGCGCAGGCGGAGCGGGCGGTGCAGGCGGCGCTGGAGCGCGCTGCCGCCGGCCGCACCGTGCTGCTCATCGCGCACCGCCTCAGCACCATCCGCGGCGCGCACCTCATCGCCGTGCTGGCCCGCGGCCGCGTGGCTGAGGTGAGGCGGGCGCAGGGCGGGCACGGGCCCCGCAGGTGACGCCTGGGTGCGCCCCGCAGGTGACACCATCGGCTGTCCCCGCTGTCTCCGCAGGCGGGGACTCACGAGGAGCTGCTGCGGCGGGGGGGTCTCTACGCCGAGCTCATCCGACGGCAGACGAAGGAGGGGTCCTGAGGGGTCCCCGCGCTGCTCCCCAATAAAGCGGCGCTGCCAGGCGGACCGGGCTGCGCTCTGTCGCGGGGGTCGCGAAGGGTCCTCCGGGCCGCGGGGGGGCGCCCTCGACTCTGGGAGGGGCGGGGCCTAGTGAGTGACGTCTATAGGGGCGTGGTATGTGATGCTAGCCCCGCCCCTCCCTGCCGCGCTGCCCCACGGGGCGGGGGTGTCCCCTGTGTCACCCCCGGTGTCACCCCCTGTGTCACCCCTGCTCGGTGCCAGCCCCCTGCCGAGGTGCGGGACCCCTGCGTGGCCCTGCTGCTGTGAGCGTTCCCCGTGTGACCCTGGGGTGTCCCCTGTGTCACCGGGGAGTGTGGCACCCCTATCACTCCCGAGTGAGGAAACGCTGCAAGACCCCCGGGGGCTGGAGGGGTGAACCCCTACGTGACCCCGGGATGGGGGACCCCTGCACCCCCCAGGATGGAGGAGCCCCTGCGTGATTTCTGTCAGGGGGACCCCGATATTACCCCCGGGGCAGGGGGCCTCATGTGTCACCCCTGGGTGACCTCTGGGGTGGGGAGACCCCCTGTGACCCGCCGCTGGAACGAGGGGGTCGCCTGTGTCACCCTCCAGCAGCGGAGGGAGCCTGTGTCATCTTCCTGGGGTGGGGTCCCTCTGCCTGACCCCGGGACGGGGGACCCCTGGAATGGGGTTACCCCTTTGTAACGCCACTGGAGGGACTGTCCCCTGTGCTGGCCCCCAAGGGAGGGGACCCTTGTGTCAGCCCCCCAGGCGGGGGGAGCCCCTGCGTGACCCCCGGGGTAGGATTAGCCCTGCATGACTCTCCCGGGGCGGGGGTCCCGCGGGTCAGCCTCTGGCTGGGAGACCCCTGTGCCAGCCCCAGAGCGGGGGAACCCTGCCACATCCTTCTGGACTGAAGGCTCCACTGCATCCCTCCCGGGGTGGGGGGACCCCTGTGTGACCCCGGGGCGGGGGGACCTCGGTGTGACCCCCGGGCCGGGCTCCCCGGGCTGCCCGGTGCAGGGGCGCTGTCTGCCGCCCCCCTTCCCCGGGGGTCCCGGCCCCCCCGCACCCCAAGGCTGCGGCCGCCGGCGGGGGCGGCGGGTGGAGCCGCGGGAGGGGCGGGGGCGGCGGCGGCGGGGGACGGCGGGGACCGGCGGCGGCTGCGCCGCGGCGGGAGCGGAGCCGGGAGCGGGACCGGGACCGGGGCTGGGGCTGGAACTGGAGCTGGGATCGGGGCTGGGACCGGATCCGGGACCGGGATCAGGAGGGGGACCGAGGCTGGAATCGGGACCGGATCGGGGACCAGGGCTCGAACCGGGACCGGGATCGGAGCCGAGACCGCGGCCGGGGCTGAGGCTGGGGCTGGGAGCGGGACGGGGGCTGCGCTGCGCTGCCCGCGGTTCCGCGGCGCCGGCCGGGCGGCACCGGCAGCGGCAGCGGCAGCGTGACGGACCGGGGGCAGCGCGGCGGCCGCTCCTGCCCCCCCATCCCTGCCTTCCTCTCCCCTGCCCACCCTCCTCCTCCCCCGTTCCCTCCCGCCGGCTGCGCCCTGAGCCCGGTGCGGCGATGGGCTGAGGCTGCGGGGCAGCGCGGGGCCCCGGCCGCAACAGGATGAGGAGGGGCTCGGAAGGCAGCGGGGAGGGCGAGGGGCTCTCGAGCCTGCGGGCGTTCGCCCACAGCTCCTCGCTGCACGGCATCAGCCACGTCTTCGCCTACGGGGCCGTGTCCCTGCGCCGCGTGCTCTGGGGCGGCTTTTTCCTGGGCTCGCTGGGGCTGCTGCTGCTCGTGTGCGCCGAGCGCGTCGCCTACTTCCTCACCTACCCGCACGTCACCAAGCTGGACGAGGTGGCTGCCCGCAACCTCACCTTCCCGGCCATCACCATCTGCAACCTCAACGAGTTCCGCTTCTCCAAAATCACCCGCAACGACATGTACCACGTGGGCGAGCTGCTGGCGCTGCTCAACGAGCGCTACGAGATCAGCAACCCGCAGCTGGCCGAGCCCCACGTCCTGGCCGCGCTGCGCGACAAGGCTAACTTCAAGAACTTCAAGGCGAAGCCCTTCAGCATGGCCGAGTTCTACAACCGCACGGGCCACGACCTGGCCGACATGCTGCTGCAGTGCTCCTTCCGCGGCACCGGCTGCACTGCCCGCAACTTCACCGTGGTGAGTGCCCGGGGCCGGGGAGGGGACCCGCCGGGCGGCCCGGGGCTGCGGAGGGACCCGGGAGTCCTGCTGGGGGCAGGCACCGGCAGGCGGTGCCCCTCTGTCACCCCAGCCCCGCAGCACTCTCAGCCCTGCCCGGCCCACCGGGGACAGCACCCCCGCAGCGGGATGTGCCCACCCTGGGTCCTGCAGGGGCGCCAGGCGGCTGCGGGCAGTGCCAGGATGGAGTGGGGCTGTGCTGGGCACTCTGGGCTGCCCGGACTCTCTGCTGGCACGCAGGGGTGTGCTGGGCACAGGATGATTGCGGGTACAGGATGCTCAGGGTTGTGGGGTGCTCAGGGTGCTCCCAGCTGTGCTCTCCTGCACGGGGTGTCACTTGTACAGGTGCTCACAGGTGCAGCCCCCACCGCCCGTGCCAGCCTCAGGTGCCACTGGGCACCGCCAGCAGCAGCCGCTGCCCCGACTGTTGGCACAGAGGCTCCCATGGGCAGCTGTTCCATGGGTGGGGGTCCCCGTGCCAGCCCTGCTGGGACCCCCTGCTGCTGCTCCCAGCACCCTCCACCCCGACCCCCAACATCCCCATTCCTGCCCCCAGCAGCTCCACTGTGGCCCCAGAACAGGGCAGGGACAGTGGCACTTGTGGCAGGGAGGTGGCACTTGTGTGACAGGCAGGGACAGGCAGGGACAGGCAGGGACGGGCAGGGATGGTGGCACTTGTGTGACAGGCAGGGACACTGGCACGGCAGGGATGGTGGCACAGGCAGGGTGGACAGGGGCGGTGGCAAGGGCAGGAGAGGAAGGGACATTGGCACAGGCAGGGACATTGGCACGGGCAGGGACATTGGCACAGGCAGGAGAGGCAGGGACATTGGCACAGGCAGGGACATTGGCACGGGCAGGGACATTGGCACGGGCAGGACAGGCAGGGCATTGGCACAGGCAGTGATGGCGGCATGGGCAGCACAGACACTCCCCTCCTGCCACAGCAGCACCAGGCAGCAGCGTGGGCGCTGGGCAGCTCTCGTCTGCCATGCCAGCTCTGCCCAGTCCCATCACTGTCCCCTTAATGCTCTTGGAGCACTAATGAATTCACCCCGCAGCTTCAGGACGAGCTGTCCTTTGACAGGTCTGTGGCCCCATGCTCCCTGTGCTCCCTCTGTTCCCCCCGTGGCCGTGGCCAGAGCTGCTCTGCCAGTGTCCCCATAGCCCGGCAGGCAGTGGTGATGGCCCCTGGGTTTGAGGGCTGGGACATGTGGCAGCAGGGCTGAGGGTCCCCAGGGCGGGACTTGGGGTGGGTGGCAAGTGCCTGATTAGGCAGCAGGGTCCTGGCTCTGCCCCCCAGAATCCCCAGGCTCAGTGAGTCTTAGGGATTGGGATCCCCAGCTTGGGATCCTGTGACCCAGGCCACGGTGCTGAGCCCTGGCCCTGTGTCCCTGCACCTCACCCCAGCCCAGGCCTGGTGTCCCTGAGGTTCCTGGACATGTGGTGGGGCCCGAGGGCCATGGGGTGAGCTGAGTCCCCTCTCACAGCCCCCAGGGCCTGTTGGATGGGCAGGATGGGGTGTGGGGACCAGGGATCCTCGGGGAGCAGGGCTGGGGGTCCCCGGGGCTGGGGGTCCCTGTGTGACCCCGAGTGCAGTGCGGGGGGGCTGGCACTGCTGGGGACACGTCCCCATCGCTGTCCCCACCCATGCCCCCCCCAGCATCCCCATGCCGGGCAGCCGTTGCCATGACACCCGCCCCCCCCCTTTCCTCCTTGGGCACCGCATTGCCATGGCAACGGGTCCCCACTTTGGGAGCAGCTGGTTGCCACGGCAACGCCCCCTCCGCTCCCCCCCGTGGGACATCACCCCGGGTGGGGCACCCCCGGCACCACGGGGCAGGAGCTGGGGGCCCAGGGACCCGGCTGGGGCTCAGGGGCACCCCGGGGTCCCGGCCGGGGGTTCCCATCCTCGGGAACTCAAGGTCACCCCAGGGCTCTGCTGGGGCTGTGGGACCCCGGGGGGGCTGCCCAGGGCAGGCTCTCGGCTTTGGGGGGACACGGTGGCCTCTGCCGCTGTGACAAAGGAGTCCTGGTCCCCATCACCACTCTGGCTTGTGCCTTCCCATCTCAAGTGTCCCCACATGTTCCCTGGAGCTGTGACGAAACCCAATATCCCTGCAGAGCCGCAGCAGCACAGGCCAGGCACCATCAGCGCCCTCGCCTTCTCCTGGCAGCACTGAGATCCTGTCCTGGGGCACTGGGACCCCATCCTGGGTCCTGCAGGGCACTGGGTTCTGTCCTGGGGCGTACTGGGATCCTGCTCTGGGTGATGCAGGGCACTGGAATCCCCACTGCCATGTCCCCGTGTATGTCCCTGTGTCCCCACAGGGTCCCCACGGTGGCACTGCAGGTCCAAACGGGTCCCTGCAGTGGCAGTGAGCACCCTGTCCCCGTGTCCCACGTGTGTCCCTGCAGATCTTCACCCGCCTGGGGAAGTGCTACACGTTCAACCCAGGGGGGCCGGGCCGGGAGGTGCTGACCACGCTGCAGGGCGGCTCCGGCAACGGCCTGGAGCTCATGCTCAACGTGCAGCAGGAGGAGTACCTACCCGTCTGGGGGGACACAGGTGAGCCCCTGCACCTGGGGGACACAGGAGGGACCCTGCACCTGGGGGGACACAGGGGGGACCTGCCCATCTGGGGGGACATGGGTCAGAGCACTTGGGTCCCAGCTGAGTGGGTACCCATCCTTTTGGGGGGACACAGGCGAGTACGTGTCCATCTGGGGGGGACACAGGTGAGATCCCTGACCCCCGTCCCCTGCTCTGCAGATGAGACCTCGTTTGAGGTGGGGGTGAAGGTGCAGATCCACAGCCAGGACGAGCCTCCTTTCATTGACCAGCTGGGCTTCGGCGTCGCCCCTGGCTTCCAGACCTTCGTCTCCTGCCAGCAGCAGCGGGTATCCGGGCACGGCGCCCGGGGCTGGGCACGCACCCCCGAGGGACCGGGATGGGCCCCAAAGGGACTGGGATGGACCCTCACAGGGCCCGGGATGGGACCCAGAGGGACCAGAATGGACCCTCACAGCGCTTGGGATGGCCTGGTGCTGCCACAGCCAGCCCTGTGGGGACATTCCAAGCCGCGGGCACCCAGCCATGCCCATGGGGACACCCCTGCCCAGCCGTGCCATGGGTGCCATGCCACTGCACAGCACAGGCTGTGGGGCAGCCCCACGCGGGCAGCGGCTCCGGCAGCGACCCCCGGCTCCGCGGAACAGCCGCCGGGGGGTGGCGGCACCGGCCCCCGCAGCCAGACACCTAAATTTAGGTGCCTGGGGTGGGCGTCACCACGTGTGCCGGCACATGGGCGGCAGGAGCGCGGCGGCAGCAGGAGCGGCCCTGGCACCCACGGGCGGGGGGTGCTGGGCCCTCACCAGGCACCATCCCCGCACCAAGGGCAGGGCGGGGGTCCGCGCTGAGCCCCCCACCCGGCACGTCCCGCTCCAGCCAGTGCCACCCGCCGGCCCTCGCTGTGGCACCCGGTACAGGTGACAACTGCTGCAGCAGCCGTCCCCGTGCCCCGACAGGAGGGGACGGGAGGGACGGGGCTCGGGGGGGGACAGGACCCGCAGCGCTGGGGTGCGGGGTGAGCTCTGCCCGAGGGACGGCACCGCCGCGGGCCGGGAGGCGCGGCCGTGGCCGGGCACGACAGCGGGGACATCGGGGCTGGCCCGGGGCCCCAGGACGCCGTGTTTTCCTTAGCGGGTGCCCGGCAGCTGGTGTACCTGCCCCCGCCGTGGGGGGACTGCAAGGCCACCCCCATCGAGTCCGACTTCTTCACCAACTACAGCCTGACGGCGTGCCGCCTGGACTGCGAGACGCGCTACCTGGCCGAGAACTGCAACTGCCGCATGGTGCACATGCCGGGTGAGCGGGGGGCGCCCGGGGGCCGCGGGGCTGCGGCACCAGGGCACCAACCCCGGCCCCGCCGCCGCCGCCTCCCCCGCAGGCAATGCCAACGTCTGCACCCCGGAGCAGTACAAGGAGTGCGCCGACCCCGCGCTGGGTACGTACCCCGAGCCCCGCAACGGCCCCGGGCACCCCCGAACCTCCCCGGGCACCCCCGAGCCTCCCCATGCCCTCATTGCTGTGACAGCAGCTCCGGTGTCCCTGTGCCCCCACCACTGTCAGAAGTGCTCTCGTGTCCCTGTGCCCCCGCCACTCAGAATGCGGTTCTGGTGTCCCTGTGCCTTCACCAGGGTGGGGGTCACTGCTGTCCCCAGATACGCAGGGCCATGCCCCCTCCCTGTGCCACCAACAGTGCCCGTGGCACACTCGTCCTGGGTGGCACATTTGTTCTGGGTGGCACACTTGTCCCGGGTGGGGGGACAGCACCCAGCTCTGTCCCCGGAGCATCCTGCCCCCCCCCGGGCAGAGGTCTGGGGTCCCGGTGCCACCCGCGCCCCCCCAGACTTCCTGGTGACGAAGGACAGCGAGTACTGCGCGTGCCGCACGCCCTGCGCCATGGTGCGCTACGGCAAGGAGCTCTCCATGGTCAAGATCCCCAGCAAGGCCTCGGCCAAGTACCTGGCCAAGAAGTTCAACAAGACGGAGCAGTACATTGCGTGAGTGACACCGCCACCTCCACTGCGCTGTCACCGCGGTGTCACCCGCCGCCTCGCCAGCGCACAGCGTGACACAGCCCCACGGCCCGGCATGACAGCGCCAACACAGGGCACAGTGTGACAGTGTGACACGGCACGGCATGGCCCCGTGGCATGAACCAGCAGTGTGACACAAGGGCCCCAGCATCCACGAACTGACACAGCCCAGTGACAGTGTGACAGGGCACACCCACCCAGCATCCCCCAGCAGACACGAACTGGGACAGCATGACAGTGTGACACAGCAGCACGACACAGCCACGCACGGCATCCCCATCACACACCAACCGACAGCCCAAAGTGACATGTGACAGGGCATGGCATGGCGTGACAGCATGGCATGGCACAGTGTGGCACAGCGTGGCCTCCCTGTGCAGACCTGTCCCAGAGACGGGAAACCCACACGGCATGGCATGGCTCAGCATGGCCCAGCATGGCCTGGCACAGCACAGCCCAGTATGGCACAGCATGGCCTGGCACACCCGTGTGCCCCCTCTGCGCTGCCCCACGGTACCCCATGGCAGAGTGCAGCCCCCAGTGTGGCACGGCACAGCCTGGCACGGCACAGCCTGGCACCCCCCTGCAGCTGACAGTGCCCCCGTGTCCCCCCAGGGACAATGTGCTGGTCCTGGACATCTTCTTCGAGGCACTCAACTACGAGATGATCGAGCAGAAGAAGGCGTACGAGGTGGCGGGGCTGCTGGGTGAGGGACGGGGAGCCGGGGGTGCCGGGGGACACGGGCTCTGCCCTCGCTGATGTCACCTCCCGCACAGGTGACATCGGGGGGCAGATGGGGCTCTTCATTGGCGCCAGCCTCCTCACCATCCTGGAGATCTTTGATTACCTGTACGAGGTGAGCCCCCCCGGCCTCCCCCTGCCCGGGGCTCTCCGGGCTGGGGACCCTGACCTGTCCCCCCCCAGGTGTTCCGGGACAAACTCCTCAGCCTGTACAAGGAGAAGAAGCGGAGCCCCCGGAGCGACGGCGGCACCCTGGTAACCCCCCCGCGCCCCCCCGTCCCCCGCCCCCCGCCCGGGGGTCGCACCCCATCACCCCCCCGCTCACCGCTCTCTCGTCCCTCCGTGCGCCCGTCCAGGAGCACCCGGCGGTCCCGGGCAGCCCCACGGCCCCGCGCCCACCCAGGTACACGGGGGGGGGCACCCGGAGCCCCCCGGGGCCGGCACGGGGGGTGCGGGGCTGTCGCTCCCCGGGGGGAGATGGGGGTCCCTGGGGGGCTCCCCAGGGCCAGGACCGGGGTGGCGTTCCCGCATTCCCTGCGAACCCCCCGCATTCTCTGCAGACCCCCCTGCATTCCCTGCAGACATCCCCCATCCTCATCATCCCCCACGGCACCTTGTTCCGGGGTACCCCTGCTGCAGGTGGGGGGTTCGGGCTGGGGTCCCCGTGGGGCAGGAGGGGGGGTCCCTGTGGGGACACGGGAGGGCCAGCCCGGCTCCAGGCTGGCTGTGCGCTGTCCCCTGCCAAAGGGGAGGGCTCCGGGGCCACCGTGGGGCACACGGGGAGGGGGCAGAGCCCCCCAGGGGCAGGGCTGGCAGTGGGAGCTGACCCCCACCCCCCCGCAGGGCGCCTGGCCCCCCCTGCCCGGCCCCGCGCCCCGTCTCGGCGTCGCCCCGAACCTGCTACCTCGTCACCCGGCTCTAGGGCCCCCCCCCGGGCCCCCCCGCAGAGCCCAGCCCGCCCCCCCGCCGGCCGGGGGGCTGGGGGGACACCCCCGGGCCGCGGGGCGGCCTCCAGGCCTCCCCCGCCCCCTGAGGGGGCGTCGGGGGGCTGGGGGTGAGGGGCCCCCCCGGCCCCGCTCCCACCTCCCTGCATGCGCTGCCTGTGCCCCCCCGCGCTGGACATGCAACCCCTCCCCACGGCCCCCCCAAATAAAGAGGTGCCCCAGGCCCGGCTCCAGGCTGCTTGGGGGGATGGGGGGCCTGGGGTGCCCAGGGGTCTGGGGCTCCACAAGAGAGGTGGCACTGGGGGTCCCAGGGCTGGGCTGGGCTCAGGGGCTGTGGGGGGGTCTGTCACATGGCAAGGGGGGTCCCCGACACCCCAGGAAAGAGGAGGCAGCATTGGGGGGTCCCAGGCTGGGCTGGGCTCAGGGGCTGTCTGGGGGGGTCCCTGACACCCCAGGAAGGAGGAGGCAGCACTGGGAGGGAAGCTCTTTATGGGACACGGAACGCACATCACCCACGTACAGCAGGCCCTGGCAGGGGGCACCCCTCCAGGACCCCCCAGCAGAGGGGGGCTCAGGGGGAGTAGGGAGAGGAGATGGGGGTGCATTCCCCCCTGGCGTCCCTGCGCCTGGTCCCGGAGGGTCCTGCCCCTCCACCAGCCCTGTGGCCCCAGCTCTGGGGGCTCCCGTGTCCTTGGGAAGGCCCCTGGCCCCGGTGAGTCCTGTGTCCCCGGGGGGAGCCCCAGCCCTCTCATCCCCCCCGGATGGGGGGCCCGGGGGTTGTGCCAGCCCCCCGCAACCAGGGCAGAACCTAATAAATACTGGGGGGGCTGCAGTCAGGGGGGCTGGCACGGGCTGGCACCCCCTCAGGGGGTCTGGGGCCTCGGGGGGCCCTAGGGGGGGCAGAAGTCGGTGAAGTAGGGGTGCTGCAGGGCCTCCTCCGCTGAGATGCGCTGCACCGGATTGCACTTGAGCAGGTTCTGGGGGGCACGGGGGGCTGAGGGGCAGGGCACACACCCTCCCCATCCCACAGCCCCCCAGGCAGGCAGGGGGCTGCGAGGGGGAGGGCAGGGGTGACACGGGTGGGGGACACAGCGGTGGGACAGGGGCAGGGGGTGTGCAGGCTGGGAGACACACCAGGGTGGGGGGCACAGGGGCAGGGGCACAGGGGCAGGGGCACAGGGGCAGGGGCACAGGCAGGGGGCACAGAGACAGGGGGCACAGGGGCAGGGGCACAGGGGCAGGGGCACAGGCAGGGGGCACAGAGACAGGGGGCACAGAGACAGGGGGGCTCAGGGACAGGGGGCACAGAGACAGGGGGGCTCAGGGACAGGGGGCACAGGGGCAGGGGGCACAGGGGCAGGGGGGCACAGGGGCAGGGGGCTCAGGGGCAGGGGGCTCAGGGACAGGGGGCACAGGGACAGGGGGGCACAGGGGCAGGGGGGCTCAGGGGCAGGGGCACAGAGCAGGGGTCTCACCTGCAGCAGGTCCCGGCCAGTGGCGTTCAGCTTGGGCACCACGTTGACCAGGGAGGTGGTAGCTGGGTACATGGGGTAGGGCTGGGGACACACGGGTGACCCCCAGCTCCCCCAGACCCCTCATTCCCTCTGACCCCCCACATCCCCTGCCCTCACCTTGTAGTCCGGCAGCTTGGCCATGGCCGGCCACTGCTCCTCCGTGGGGGTCCCCAGCAGCGTGGGGACAGTCAAGGGCCACCATGGGGACACCCAGCACCTGCCCCCTGCCCCCTGCCCAGCCGAGGGGGGCTCCCATTCCAAGGGATCCTCATTCCCAGAGCTCCCCGTTCCCCAGGGGGTCCCTACTCTGCAGGGCTCCCCATTCCCCAGGGCTCCCCATTCCAGGATTTCCCCAGTCCCTCATTCTGGGGTCCCCATTCCAGAGGGATCACCATGCACAGGGCTCCCTATTCCCAGAGGATTCCCCATTCCCAGGGGAAGTCTCCATTTAAGGCTTTCCCCGTTCCCTGGAATCCCCATTCCTTTGGGCTCCCCATTCCCAAGCAGTCCATTCCGTGGCTCCCCATTCCCAGGGGAGGTCCCCATTTCCAAGGGCTCTGCATTCGAGGATTTCCCCAATCCTCTATTCTGGGGTCTCCATTCTGGAGGGATCAGCATGCACAAAGCTCCCTATTCCCAGGGGATTCCCCATTCCCAGGGGAAGTCTCCATTCAAGGCTTTCCCCATTCCCAGCAGTCCCAGTTCCTTTGGGTTCCCCATTCCCAAGGATATCTGAAGATCCTCTTCAGCTGGTCGTCCACGTCGTTGCCCGGGAAGAGGGGCCGCCCGGCGTTGGCCAGCTCTGGGGGGACAGGGGGTGGTTCCCAGAGGCCCCTGTGGCCCCCCAGGCCCCCTCCAGTCCCCTGGCCCCCAGTGTACCCGCAAAGATGCACCCAGCTGACCACATGTCGATGGAGGTGGAGTAGAGCTTGGCCCCAAAGAGAACGTCCGGGGGCCGGTACCACAGAGTGACCACCTGGGAGGGACAGGGACAGTGGCACAGGGACAGGGACAGCCCTGGCCAGCAGGGCCAGGAGCCCCATCCCGAGCCCCAGGAGCCCCATCCCGAGCCCCAGGAGCCCCAGGGCCCCGCTCACCTCGGCCGAGTAGCAGCGCACAGGGATGCCGAAGGCCCGAGCCAGCCCGAAATCCGCCAGCTTGAGCTCCCCGTTCTGGGGGGACAGAGGGGTCAGCCTGGGGGGTCCCACTGCGTCCCCCAACCCCAGGGACAGCGGCCCTGCTGCCTGCCCATCACTGGGAACACGGCAGAGATGCAGCTGGGGCTGGACAGACACCAGGACAGACCGACAGACAGCCCCCGTTTCCAAGTGCGACCCCAGAGCACAGCACCACTCCCAGGTGTGACTGCACAGGACTGACAGACAGACAGCCCTGCTAGCAGGTTTGACTAACCAAGACAGATGGACAGATAGCCCCCATTTCCAAATGCAACCCCTAAACACAGCCCTGCTCGCAGGTGTGAGTGCCCAGGACAGACAGACAGACAGACAGCCCCACTCGCAGGTGTGAGTGCCCAGGACAGACAGACAGACAGACAGCCCCACTCGCAGGTGCAAGTGCCCAGGACAGACAGACAGACACCCCCCATTCCTAAGCGTGACCCCTGAGCACAGCCCTGCTCCCAGGTGTAACTGCCCAGGACAGATGGACAGACAGACAGCCAGCCTCATTTCCCAAGTGCCACCCCTGAGCACAGCCCCGCTCACTGGTGTGAGTGCCCAGGACAGATGGATGGACAAACAGACAGCCCTGCTCGCAGGTGTGAGTGCCCAACCCATCACCCCGTGACCCAGCCCGTGTCCCAGCCCTGTCCCAGCCCTGTCCCAGCCCGTGTCCCCTCCGTGTCCCAGCCCTGTCCCAGCCCGTGTCCCCTCCGTGTCCCAGCCCGTGTCCCCGCCGTGCCCACCCGGTTGATGAGCAGGTTCTGCGGTTTCAGGTCGCGGTGCAGCACGTTGCGGCTGTGGCAGAAGGCGAGCCCCTTCAGCAGCTGGTACATGAAGGACTGCGGGCACAGGCGGCTTCGTCAGCACCGGGCACCCCCCGGGCATCCCCCGGGAGCGCCACACCCACCTTGACGATCTCAGGGTCCAGATCCCCGTTACAGCTGTCAAAGTATTTCTTCAGGTCCTGGGGGAAACAAGGGGGGCGGCAGCGGTGACCCTTAGAGACCCCCAGGTTGCCCTATGACCCCAGGGTCCCCCAAACCCCCCGGGTCCCCCGTGCCCCCCACCCAGACCCCCGTGCCTCCGGTGCTCACCTGGTCACAAAACTCAAAGACCAGGGTCAGCTTCTTGTCGCTGTGCAGAACGTCGTGGAGCCTGCGGGGCAGGGGTCCCTGAGCCCCCAGCGCCCGGCCAGGCTCGGGGCACCGGCAGGAGCAGCCCCCGAGCCCAGCCCCCGGTAGTCCCGGTGCCCCCGGTACCTGACAATGTTCTTGTGCTTGAGCTCCTTGAGCAGGCAGATCTCCCGCAGCGCCGAGCTGGGCACCCCCTGCGGGACACGCGGGTTGCGGGAGCCGGGGGCACCGGGGGGTACCGGGAGGGTCCCAGCCCCGGCCCCCCCTCACCTCATCATCGTCGTCCAGCCGCACCCGCTTCAGCGCCACGATCTCGTGCGTCTCCCGGTTCTTGGCCTTGAACACGGTCCCGTAGGTGCCTGCGGGGACGGAACGGGGTCATGGCAGAGCCCCCGGTACCTGTACCGACACCGACACCGCCGCCGGGCCCCGCATGCACCGGGTCCCTCCGTACAGCCCGGCGCTGCCGCACCTTCGCCGATCTTCTCCAGCTTCTCGTATTTCTGCATCGCGCCGCGATCGGTCCCGGCCCGGCCCGGCCCCGGTACCGGCCCCGCCACCGGCCCCCGCCCGCCCGCCCGCCACACGTCCCGGCAGCCCCCGCGCGGCCCGGCCCCGCCACACCTCCCGGCAGCCCCGCCACACCTCCCGGCAGCCCCCGCGCGGTCCCGCCACACCTCCCGGCAGCCCCCGCGCGGCCCGGCCCCGCCACACCTCCCGGCAGCCCCCGCGCGGCCCGGCCCCGCCACACCTCCCGGCAGCCCCCGCGCGGCCCCGCCCCGCCACACCTCCGCGATGGCCCCGCCCGCCCGCCCCGCCCCTGCCCCGTGGTTCCGGGTTCGATCCCCGGCTCCGCCCGCCGCGTTCCCCCCGGACCCCCCGGTCCCCTCGCCCGCCCTCCCCGGGACAGCGCCACTGCGCGGGCGCCCTGCGGGGATCCCTTGCGGGGACGGTGTCCGCTCCCGCTGGGTCGGTGCCGGAAGCGGTGCGGACCCGCCCGGTGCCGCCCCGCCCCGGCGCGCTCCCGCCGTTCCGCCCCGCGGGGACGCGCAGACCCGCCCGGCGCGGCTGGACTGTCCGGTAAGCAGCGGCACCGGCAGCGGGATCGTGAACGGAGGCGGTGAGGCTGGCGGGGCGCAGCACGGCTGGTCCGGTCCCGGTCCCGGTTCTGGTCCCGTCCCAGTGCCCCTACCCTCCCGGTGCCGCCCGTCCCAGTCGGTGCTGTCCCCGCTCCCCGCACGCTGCTCTCACCGAGCCACCTGAATTCCGCTCCCTCCTCTCCCGCCCCGCCCGCCCGCCCGCGGCAGCCCCGGTCCCGCTCCCGGTCCCGTCCTGCCCCGCCCTGGCAGCCCTAGGTCCCGGCGCGGCCGCGGCTCTGCTTCCCCCGGTTCCTCCCGGGGCCCCTGCCGCACTGCGGGGGTTCAGGGCGGCTGTGCCGTGTCCCGGGACCCGGCTCTCCCGGTACATGCTCCGGCTGCCTCGGCTCCTTCGGCTGCAGGTGGAGCGACACCAAGCCCGGGCACCCCCGGACCCCTCCCGGGCACCCCGGCACCATCCCCCCGGCCGGGAGCTGTGCTGCCCGGGGCGCTGAACCCCGGTCCCTCCCCGCCGCCCCGGAGCTCCGTGCGGGGCGGTCCCGGGGCACCCGGCCCCGCTCTCGGGTGCCGCTGGATCCCGGCGGGAGCGGGAGCCCCCTGACCCATGTTCGTCCCTCTCTTGCAGCGAGGCCGCTCCATGCGCTTGCCCCGCGGCGCCTGAGCCCGGCAGCCCTCGGCAGGTGAGTGACGCGGGCTGGGACCCGCTCCGTGTCCCTGTCACACGCCCGGAGCACCCTGCACCCACCCTCTCCCCGCCTGCGGAGCGCTCCGGGGGCTCCTCGGGGCCGGGAAGGGCTCTGGGGTCATCCAGCCGCCCCCACCGTCCCGCTCCCCGGAACGGTGGCTCCGAGGTGCCCGGAGAGTCGCCCGGTGCCCGCTGAGAGCCGCCGGGTGCCGGGGCACTGCCCCTTGCGAAACCATCCGGGGTTGAGCAACGCCGGGCACGGCTCCAGCGCGGGGCTCTCCCACGGAGCGTGGGCTCCCACGGCCCCGGAGCGCTCCCCAGGGACGGGGCAGCAGGTTTGGGGTGCGGGCAGGTTTTGGGGGCTGCCTTGCCCGTGGCTGCCTCTCGCCAGCTGCAGAGACCCTTTTTCTCTTGGGTACGCTGTCAGGATTTGGGATCGCTCCGCAGTGGAATTTTGTTGGCAGCTCCCGGTGCTGCGGGAAGGGCTCCGTGCCTGCCCCGTCCCCGCACGGAGAGGGCTCCAGCTGGGAACCTGCTGTCGAGCCCTTCGGGGTCGCTGCACCACTTCAAGCGCTTGCCAAAAAACCGGGATTTGATCGTTCTAACGATCCGCTGGCACCGGCGGCTGCGCCTCCCCGCCGGCAGCCCTTCCGCCGCTCCTCGGGGAGCGCCGTACCTGCCTTGTCACCTGTGCTGGGCGGGCGGCGACGCGGCGGGACATGGGGCCGCGGGAGGGGTCCGAAGGACGGGCTGGGGCACCCTCCCGCCACCTCCTGTGCCCCGGGCAGGGCTGGGGGTGACCCGGGTGCCACCGTGCCTGAGCGCTGTCCCGGGCGGCGGCAGGGAGGGGACCGTGGGAGCCGTGTCCCCGTGCTGTCCCCGTTTCAGCCCCCACAGTCGCAGCCTGTCATTAGACGGGACGGGGCGGCCGCAGGGCCGGGCTGGCTGCCCGAGGGCGCCGCGCTGGGGCATTCCAGGGGCGCCAGGCCAAGGGGGTGGGCACAGCCCTCCCCGGGGTGGGACCCTGCGCTCGCCGAGGGGGTCGTGTCCCCTGTGTCCCCAAACACGCCTGGGGCGGGAGCGGGGTCGCCACGGGAGCCACGGCGGAGGACTTGGCAGCGCTTCACTGTTTGGATCCGGGCTGCTCCAGGGAACAAAGGCTTCGCGCTCCCGCCGCTGCTCCCGCGGGTTGTTTTCCTCCGGAGCCGGTATAAAACTGCGGGCAGCGCTCGGCAGCCCCGGGCACGGCGCCGCTGCCCGCGCTCCTGCTCCGGACCGGCCTCGCCCCTGCCGGGCCGGGGGTCCCGGTCCTGCCCCCGGCCGGGGGAGCTGCCGGAGCCTCGGCTGAGCGGCTCGCGGGTGATGGGGTGAGTGGGGCCGGGCCGGTGCGGGACCGGGGCTGGCACAGCGGGAGCGACACCTCCGCGGTGGGCTCCGACAGCCGAGGGCGGATGGGCGGCGTCCAGCCCTGCCGCAGGTGACAGAGTGGCTGTCCCTATGGCCGGACCACCCCTCCACGATCCCATCCTGCAGGGACCAAGCTGTCAGTGCTGGTGCGGGTCCCCCCAGGACTGTGGGGGCAGCTGTGCCTGTCCCCTCCTGGGGCTGGAGTGGGGACAGTGGCAGGAGGCGCTTGCAGGTCTGGCAATGTGGGGGGCTCCTGGCCGCTCTGAGGTGGCAGAGGGGTGGTGGAGGGTGCCTGGCACATCGGTGACAGTGGCAATGACCGCGGTGGTGGAACCATGTGGGTGCAGAGCTGTGACTCATCTCCAGATCCGGTGGTTTGAGGTCGTGGGCAGGGGGGAGGTGAACATTTTTGGTGTTGGTTTCTGAAGTTTCAGCATGGGAAGCTCTGCTGGGTGGGAGCCAGTGGTGCCTGGCCCAGCTCTGTCCCGTGGTGACAAGGGTCTGCAGGGTCCTGCTGGGTGGCATCTGGGGACACACTGGGTGCCAGTGACACCCAGGGGTTTCCTGGAGCAGCCAGGTGAGATGGGGCAGGGAGCAAGGGGCTGCAGGGAGCTGGGGTCCTCCCCTCTTTGGGGGTGGGCAGAGTGCTGGAGCACCCACTGGGCCTCCTCCATTTTGGGGTGCAGGGAACTGGGGCCTCCTGACTTCCCTGTTCCACGGACACATCTGCCCAGGCGATGGGCACAGCCTGAGCTGTGCTGGCCTCACCCCAGCCATTCCTCCTGCCTGGCACATGCCGTGCTGGAGGGTGCTGCCAGCAGGGAGGCCACAACAGACACGCTGTGCTGTTCCTTGTCACCAAGGGGGCAGCTGGTGTCACCACCAAGGCTGGGAAAAGTGCTACGGGGGTCACCATCAGCCTTGATGCCAGTGTGGGCACAAGCATGGGTGGCACATGTGTGTGCACTGAGCCCATGCCAGGGATCTGCCAGGTGACACGGTGGTGGCAGGAGATGTTCTGGCAGGAGTCCTGGTGCTGTTGCTGGTGGGGGCATGGCGTGGCAGAGTGGGCAGGAGGACACTTGCTGCCCTGGGGGTCCCCTGCTCCCAGTCTTGTCCCTTCTCATGGGGTCTTGGCTCTGTGCTATGGACGCGCTCGTCCTGGTGTGGATGTGTGACCTGGCTTCCCAGGACGTGGGTGCCTCAGTGTGGATGTGGTTGTCCTGGCTGTGATTGTCCAGGATGTCCTGTTGTGGCTGCCCAGGATGTGATTGTCCCAGTACAGATGTGGTTGTCCCGGAGTGGACAGGCTGTCCAGGACATCATTGTGCAGGTGCGGGCAGGTGTATCCCGCTGTGAATGCCAGCACCCTTGTCCCACTTCCCACCGCGCTCAGCCCAGTGCTGGCGGTGCACAGGCTGGGTCCGGGAGCTCTGGGGCAGCCCCGAGGCGGTGTGGGGCCAGGGCCGAGCCCTGTAATCGCCTCAGCAGCTCAGGCAGGCCAGGGCCGGTCCCAGGAATGTGACTCCGGCGGCGCGGGAGTGGCCGTGGCAGGGCGCTGGGCGCCCGTGGCAGCGGCAGGTCATTCCCCGCGCCCGGAGCGCGCTCCTGCCCCGCTTATCGCTTATCGGGGCGGCCCGGCCTCGCACAAGGGGCCATTGTGCCGCGGGGCGCGGCCGGTGGCAGGGCCAGCACCGACACCGGCACGGTGCTGTCGCCGCCATGGCCTCGGGTGCGTGTCCTGACCCTCCTGCCCGGCGGGAGGGCGAGGTGGCGGCGCTGCAGCCGCGTGGTGCCGGTGGGACTGTCCCGGGGTGTCTGCTCTGGACCCGTCCCCCCATCCCAGGGTGCCAGAGCGTCCTGGGAGTGGGGTTGGCCACGGGGCACCAATCAGGGCTTGTTCTGGCCCCTTTCCACAGGGCTGGCCCTGAGCCGTTCCCGGCCACCACTCGTCCGTGACTCAGCAATGGAAAGCAGAAGTGTCCCCCCGTGCCCCCCCCCCAGCTCTCCGTCATCCTTTCCAGCGGGGTCATGCCCCTGGCTCCCGGGAGCCGCATGTCCCCAGTGTCACCATCCCGCCGGGCTCCTGCTGTGGCACCTGGGGGCCAGGACCCCCTTGTTGGGTGTTTTGGTGAAAGCACGACGTTCCCGAGAACAATCCCAGTGTGTTCCCAAACTAATCCCGAGCTGCCCACGAGATTAAGCCCAAAAAGCTGCTTAGTGCCCACAGCGGCGACACCGTCCTGTGCACCCAGCAAGGCGGTGGCCCAGCCCCAGGTCCCCCCCGTGGGAGGGTCCCATCCCGAGTTTGGGGGGGCTGAGTGCTGGCGGCGGCTTGGCGGGCGCCCCAGGAGAGCGGCGTGGCAGGGCGGATAATCTGCCTGCTGGAATGTGGATGTGCTGGCTCCGGCCCCGGACGGGAGCGGGGATTAGGGAGAAGCCGGAGCAGGGTAGCACCGAATTTTGGGAATAGGTGGGATTCAGGGCTGCAGTGAGGCTCGGAGCCGCAGCCTCGGCATTCACTGAGACAGCTCCTCGAGCCTCACCACGGCCACCGTGCTGGCACCCCAGCGGTGCCGGTGACGGGGACGGTGATGCCACCCATGTGAGACGCAGTCATCCGTCACCACCCTCCTCGGTCCCCCCGTCACGTGGGCCACCTCCCGTGGCAATAAACCCGGCACGCCGGTGCCACAGGGGTCAGCGCGGGGCCGGGAAGCTGCCAAGGGGCGAACGTGGGTGGAAGCTGGGCCGGGCTGGGGAAACGCGGGAGGGCTGTGGGCTTTCGGGAGGGTCGGGAGCTGCGGTGCCCCCCGAGTCTGGCACCCTGCCCGCACCCCGCAGGGTTGGGTGCCTGCCCGGGGTCCCGCTGCCTCGACTCCGCTCCCCTCCCGGCGTTTGTCTTGGCCGCAGCTCTCCCATTCCAGCCGGTGGCCAAGACAAACCAGCCCGGAGCCAGCGCGGCCCGAGGAGGGGCAGCCCCGGCCCCCGCCCGCGGCACGGCTCGGGGCACCCCCTGATCCCCTGTGCGCCCCCAGGTTATGCTGCCCCGAGAGCGTCCCCTGAGCCCCCGCGAGAAGGAAAAGGGCTAAGCCGGCCGTGCCGGGGGCCGTGCCAGCGCCATGACCCATTCCCAGGTGTCTTCCGAGCTTCACCACATCGTCTCCTCAGCCTTCCAGAGCGTAAGTGCCACCGCGGGGCGGGGGGATGAGAGGCTGCAGCCCCTGACAGGGCCTGGAGGGGTGACAGGTGTCATGGCACAGCCCCTGCTGCTGCCGGGGTGCACCTGGGGGATGCCCGACTGCGGGGCTGTGGGTGCTGGCAGTGCTGTGTGGCACCTACCCTAGCCCTGGCTCAGGTGTGGGGCAGGGCTGTGGGGTGCTGGCAGTGCCCAGTGCCACCTGCCCTAGCCCTGGCTCAGGTGTGGGGCAGGGCTGTGGGGTGCTGGCAGTGCCCAGTGCCACCTGCCCTAGCCCTGGCTCAGGTGTGGGGCCGGGCTGTGGCTGCTGGCAGTGCCCAGTGCCACCTGCCCTAGCCCTGGCTCAGGTGTGGGGCAGGGCTGTGGCTGCTGGCAGTGCCCAGTGCCACCTGCCCGGTTGCTCAGCCCCCCAGGGCAGGCCAGGCCGGCTGTGCCAGGGTGGCGGGCGCCCTTGGGGCCGCACGGTGCCAGCGCCGCCGGTGGCAGGGCCGTGGCGGTGCCCGCGGTGCCAGCGCTGCCCTGGCGGCGGTTCCCGGCCGGGTTAATGATTGAGCCCCGTGTCACGCCGCGGCCGCCCGGTGCTGCTGGCGAGCCCCGCCGCCCGCACGTGACCGGGGATGGGACCGGCCCCATCCTAATGGAGTTTTTCCGGGGCTCCCGGGTAAGCTGCGGCCTAGGGGGCCTCTGGGGGCTCTCTCAGCGCTGCTAACCCAGGGCACCGTGCCCACCTGTGCCACGGTGACGCCAGGTGCCCGACAAAGGTGGGGTGGGTGCTGCTGGGGTGCAGAATGGAGCCCGGCAGGTTTGGGGCCTTGGGGCCATGGCCAAAGGGACTTGAGGGGTCTGGGGGATCAAAGGGGGCACGGGGATGGTGGGAGGGATGTGGCAGGACTGGTCTGATGCCACCGCTGCCATCACGTGGCAGCCCCTGTGTGCCGGGGTGCGATGGGCTGGCCTGGGCCATCACCTGGGTCACCCCACTGCACAGTGACCCCCTGTGTCACCCTCCAGGTAACCCCCCTGGGAGCCCAGGGGTCACTTTGCAGTGGGGACAGGAATGGGGCACCTGTGCCCAAACCGGATACCTGGGCTGGGGTTCATGTGGGGTGGCCATGGCACAGCCATGGACCCGCAGGTGCTTCTGGGGTGCCCACTCGGGGCGCTGGCAGCTCCTCCCCCGCTGCTCCTGCAGGCAGATCCTGCTGCCTGGGGTGCCCCTGTACCCCCCTGCCCCCCACTCCGGGGTCCCTGGGTGGGGCCGTGGCGGGGGGCTCGGCTGTGCAGCCCCCGCAGGGGCTGAGGGGTGCAAGGCTGGCAGGGCATTTACCGGGGGTCCGTGCAGCCCCGGGGGATGGGAGCTGCCCTCCGGGGCAATCCGAGCTGGGCCCGGGGAGCCGGCGGTTCGGGGGCCGGGGCTCGGCGGAAGGGGCCGGTGGTTCCCGGGGTGTTGGTGCGTCCCGAGGGGCCGGAGTTGGCGGGGGATCGGCGCATCCCGAGTGGGTCCGCTGCATCCTGCGGGGCCCGGTGCATTCCGGGGGGGGGGGCGGTCGCTCCGGGGCCGCCGCCGGTGCCGCGGTGCCGCCGGTGCCCTCTGCGTTCGCCGTCACCTTGAGACGGGCGCGAGGCGGCTCCGTCAATATTTGGCAAGGCCGGGACGGAGCCGCCGCCCCCCCGGTTTCCTCCCCCGCGCCCCCCCCTCGCTCTCCCCCCACCCCCGGCCCCATCCCCGGCCGGTCCCGGCGCTCCGATAAAGCGCTGCGGGAGCTGCGGAGGGAGCGGCTCCGCCATGACTCAGGTAGGACCGGCCGGGGACGCGCCCCCCGCAGCCCCCGCAGCCCCTCCCGCACTCCCCCAGCCAGGCCCCTGCAACCGCCAGCCCCGCATCCTCCGTATCCCCCCCAGCTCCGCATCCCCCGTGTCCCCGCAGCCCCCGGTCCCGCGTTACCCCCACAACCCCCCCGCACCCTCCGCATCCCTCTGCGCCCCCAGCCCCGCATCCCCTCCCGCCCCCAGCCCCGCCCCCTGCCCCCGCAGCCCCTCCCCCCGAGCCCACCCCTGGCACCCCCGGCTGGGGGGCAGCGGCAGCCCGGGGCGGGGGGCACAGAGCCGGGGGATCTGCGGGTCAGGGGCTGGGACAGCGCTGGGGGGGGGGCACAGCACCGGGGCACCGCGCTGGGGGTGCTGGGGTGGTACAGGGACACAGCACTGCGGGGGCCGGGGCTGTCCAGGGACACAGCACTGGCCATGCTGGTTCCCATTCGGAGGAAAGCGTGGCACGGGGTACCCGGGGCACAGCCCAGGGCCCGGAGCTGGGCTGCTGTGGCACGTGGGGCGGAGGTGACACCGTGGCGTGGAGGTGACACCGACGCAAGCGCTGAGGCCGGGGGTGCTGGGGTGCGTGGGGTGGGAATGATGCAGGGGGTGCCCAGCCCAGGGCAGGGGTGCCCAGCCCCTGGGTGCCTTCGGGGCTCAGACAGCCCCTCGGAGCAGCCATCTCGCGGGGCTGCGTGGCCGGGGTGCGCTGGGGTCGGGGCACGGTGGGTGGCGGTGCCGGTGCTGCCGCCGTGTGCCCGCTCATCCCCGCTGCCGGCCCGCAGCCCGAGCAGGAGGCGCTGGGAGCCGGCTCACCTGCCTTCGGAGAGGAGGAGGAGGAGAAGGACCTGAACAAGGCCCTGGGCGTGGAGCGCTTCGAGGAGATCCTGAACGACGCCCACCCCCGCAACGCCGAGGAGGCCGGGCGCAGCTACGGCGAGGAGGACTTCGAGTGTGAGCGGGGCCAAGGGCGGGCACGGAGCAGGGAACGGGCAGGGAGCGGACAGGGGGCGAGCAGGGCGTGGGGAGCTGGCAGGAAATGGGCAGGGAACACAGCACCAACTCCCGGTCCCCCCAGACCACCGCCAGTCGTCCCACCACATCCACCACCCGCTCTCCACGCACCTGCCCTCTGACGCCCGCCGCAAGAAGGGGATCCCGAAAAAGGGCAAAAAGAAGGCCCGGCGTGCCTCTGTCCCCGGAGAGACCCCCACCATCGAGGAGGCTGAGGAGGATGAGGATGACGCGTGCGACACGGAGACGGAGCGGTCGGCGGAGGAGCTGCGGCAGCCCGGGCCGGCCGAGGCAGTGCAGGTGAGGGCCGGGCTGGGGTGGGGGCAGCGCTCAGCGTGCCTGGGCACAGCTGGGCACCGGAGGAGCCGGGGCCGCTGCTGCCACGGCCAGGGAGACGCGGCTCCCCAGCAGCCGGCTCACCCGCTGCCCCCCCAGTTCTTCTTGCAGGAGGATGAGGTGAGCGACCGGCAGGCAGAGGAGCCAGCGGCCCCCGCGGCACTGCCCGGCTCCCCCCCTGAGCCCCGAGGGGGCACGGCCCCGAAGGAAGCCCAGGCCAGCAGGTGAGCTGGGGTTGGGCCATGCTGGGGCTCTTGGGGAGCGGGCAGCATCCTCTGGCCGCCCCACGGCAGGGTGGGGGCTGGACAGCCCCTTCCCGTACCCCGTGTCAGGACTGGGGTGCAGGGCGGGGCTCAGCACTGAGCTGGGCTCCTGCCTTGCAGCCCTGATGCCGAGCAGGGGGCTCTGGGGGAGGGGGCAGCCGCCGAGGCTGGGTCCCCGGGCCGCCCTGCGCCCAAGTCGCAGCCGGGGCACCGCAGCTACAACCTGCACGAGCGGCGCTGCATCGGCAGCATGACGGCTGCAGAGCAGGACCGCTACCAGAAAATGCCAACAGACGAGTCAGAGGCACAGACACTGGCCTCGGCTGACCTGGACTACATGAAGAGTGAGTGGGCACTGTGCCCCTGGGGCTGCCCTGGTGGCCACTCTGTGTTGGGCGAGTGGGCTGGGACAGTGGAGCAGGGCTGGGGATGGTAGGGCCGGCATTGCTGGGGATGGCATCGCTGGGGATGGCGGGTTTGGGACAGTGGGGCTGGCATTGCTGGGGCTGGCATTGCTGGGGATGGTGGATTTGGGACAGTGGGGCTGGCATTGCTGGGGATGGTGGGTTTGGAACACCGGGGCTGGCATTGCTGGGGCTGGCATTGCTGGGGATGGTGGGTTTGGAACACCGGGGCTGGCATTGCTGGGGCTGGCAGTGCCAGGTTGCCTTGTGTCTACAGCCAAGCTGACCTCGGTGCAGGCACTGACCCTGCTCCCAGTGCTAGGCACAACCACAGGGGACCTATCCCTGGTGCCAGGGCTGGGCTGAGTCCCTGTGAAATGGCCAAGAGCTCGGTCCAGGGCAGCTGGAGCCAGTGACAGCAGTAGCAGTGATGGTGGCTCCCCTGGGCACTCAGAAGCCCCAGGGATTCACAGCCCAGGACTCTCAGGGTGGTGGGTGATGCTTTTGCTGTGGAGCTCCCAGGGGAGTGCAGCCAGGGCAGGGCCCATGTGCCAGTGGCCACGGGTTGACCTTGGCACATAGCGAGCAGGTGACCCCGGTGCCAGGAGCCACCTTGATTGGTGGCATTGCTGGCAGTGACCCAGTGACCCCCGCAAAGCTGCAGCACTTGCCCCCAGCAGTGGGATGATGGCTCTGCCCTGAGCTGTCCCTGGCAGGACACATCCCACAGCTCCACAGCTGGGCAGGGCCCCACATCTGAGGGCTCAGTGTCCCCCGTGCTGGGCTCTGAGGTGCAGGGCCCCACAGACCGGGCACCCCCCATTGCTGACCCCCCCAGGTCACCGCTTCGAGGACGTGCCGGGCGTGCGCCGGCACCTGGTGCGGAAGAGCGCCAAGGCACAGGTGGTGCACGTCAGCAAGGACCACAAGGAGCCCAGCACGCGGCAGCGCAAGCAGGACCGGCAGCCCCACGAGGTGCGGGGTCCTCTGCCAGGGCACGGGCAGGGACGGGGTCTGGGGTCCTGGCACTGACCCGGCTGTGCTGCAGGTGTTTGTGGAGCTGAACGAGCTGGTGGTGGACAAGAACCAGGAGCTGCAGTGGAAGGAGACGGCGCGCTGGATCAAGTTTGAGGAGGACGTGGAGGAGGAGACAGACCGCTGGGGCAAGCCACACGTGGCCTCCCTCTCCTTCCGCAGCCTTCTGGAGCTCCGCAAGACCCTGGCCCACGGTAGGGAGGCGGGGACCGCCCTGTGGGGCCCACGGTGAGTGAGGTGGAGTCCTGTCCCTGCTGGCCCCAGCACCCCCTCTGTTGTCCAGGGGCCGTGCTCCTGGACCTGGACCAAAAGACGCTGCCAGGGGTGGCTCACCAGGTGGTGGAGCAGATGGTGATCACGGACCAGATCCGGGCTGAGGACCGTGCCAACGTGCTGCGGGCGCTGCTGCTCAAGCACAGGTGGGCACTGGAGGCACGGACACAGCCCCTTGCCCCCGGGCTCTGCTCCCTGAGCTGTGGGGCTGATGCTGTCCCTGGGATCCTGGCAATGGCTGTGCCGCCGGGCCACCACGGACAGCCCTGGCCCTGTCCCGCAGCCACCCGAGCGACGAGAAGGAGTTCTCCTTCCCGCGGAACATCTCGGCGGGCAGCCTGGGCTCCCTGCTCGTGCACCACCACAGCACCAACCACGTGGCTGAGGGCAGCGAGCCGGCCGTCACCGAGCCCCTCATCGCTGGCCACGCCGGCGAGCACGACACGCGCATCGACGTGGAGCGGGAGGTGGGTGCCACGGCCCCCAGCCCTGCCCGTGCCCTGGGGAAGGGCCCTGACCCCTGTGCCCCACTCTGTCCCCACAGAGGGAGGTCCTCACTCCCACACCCCCGGCCGGCATCACTCGCTCCAAGTCAAAGCACGAGCTGAAGCTGCTGGAGAAGATCCCGGACAACGCTGAGGCCACAGTGGTGCTCGTGGGTATGGAGAGGTGGGCAGGCCAGGGGTGTGGGTGCCGCATGCCAGGCACCCTGGTGACCCCTGTGCCCCCCAGGCTGTGTGGAGTTCCTGGACCAGCCCACCATGGCCTTCGTGCGGCTGCAGGAGGCCGTGGAGCTGGACGCGGTGCTGGAGGTGCCCGTGCCTGTGCGGTTCCTCTTCGTGCTGCTGGGCCCCAGCAGCACCCACATGGACTATCACGAGATTGGGCGCTCCATCTCCACCCTCATGTCCGACAAGGTCCCTGCCCCGGGAGTCCTGGCGGGCGGGGGGCTTGGGCTGTGCCCGCCTGAGGGGTTTGGGGCTGTGCCAGGATGGGGGTTCAGGGCTCTGCTGGGGCAGGGGCTTGAGGCTGTGCTGGGCAGGGAGCTCAGGGTTTTTGTGCCAGGGCTGGGGCTTCAGGGTTGTGCTGGGACTATGGTCTTGAGACAACACTTGACTGTGGGTTTGGGGCTGTGATAGGGCCAGCAGCTCAGGACTCAGATGGGATGGGCTGGAGGGCTCAGATTGTGCCAATGCTGCGGTCTCAGAGAAATGCCAGGATGAGAGCTTGGAGTCCTGTCGGGGTTGGGGAGCTTGGGGCAATGCCAGGATGCCAGTTAGCCTTGCTGTGTTGGGGTCTTGTGGCCATCCACAAGGGATGGGGACCAGGGCTGTGCCAGGGTTGGGGGCTCAGGGCCGTGCCAGGACCAGGGCCATCCTGATGCTGTGGGCTCGGGGCTGTGAAATACCAGGCTCTCAGGAGCCACAGGGCTGTGGTGTGGGCACTGACCCTGCCATGGCCCCCCAGCAATTCCACGAGGCTGCCTACCTGGCCGACGACCGTCACGACCTTCTGAATGCCATCAACGAGTTCCTGGACTGCAGCGTGGTGCTGCCGCCCTCCGAGGTGCAGGGCGAGGAGCTGCTGCGCAGCGTCGCCCACTTCCAGCGCGAGATGCTGAAGAAGAGGATGGAGCAGGAGCGGAGGCTGCTGCTGGAGCCCAAGTCCCCTGAGGAGAAAGGTGCCAGGGCCAGGGCTGGGGCCGGGGCAGGGTTTGGGGTGTCCCAGCTGTTGGGGTCTCACTGTCTGTCTGTCTGTCTGTGCATCTGCTCACCCCCAGCTCTGCTGAAGCTGAAGGTGGTGGAGGATGAGGCCGAGGAGGACGACGACCCCCTGAGGCGCACGGGCCGCCCCTTCGGGGGGCTGATCCGGGACGTGCGGCGGAGGTACCCCCACTACCTGAGCGACTTCCGCGACGCGCTGGACCCCCAGTGCATCGCTGCCGTCATCTTCATCTACTTCGCTGCGCTGTCACCCGCCATCACCTTCGGGGGGCTGCTGGGTGAGTGCGGGTGTGGAGCCTGCCAAGGGGGGTGCAGCAGTGCTGGTGCTGCGGGGCAGGGCCGTGCCCGAGGGCCCATCCTGATGGTGAGCCTGAGCCTGTGCTCCCGCAGGGGAGAAGACGCAGGACCTGATCGGGGTGTCGGAGCTGATCATCTCCACATCGCTGCAGGGCGTCCTCTTCTGCCTGCTGGGTGCTCAGCCCCTGCTGGTCATCGGCTTCTCAGGGCCTCTGCTCGTCTTTGAGGAAGCCTTCTTCACGGTGAGCTGCTGGGGTCTGCCTTGGGGGCTGGGGAGACACCCCCACCCCAGCCCTGCTGCCTGGGGCAGACATCCCCACAGCCCTCCTGCCTGGGCTCTGCCCCACTGCCTGGGGCAGACATCCCCACAGCCCTCCTGCCTGGGCTCTGCCCCACTGCCTGGGGCAGACATCCCCACAGCCCTCCTGCCTGGGCTCTGCCCCACTGCCTGGGGCAGACATCCCCACAGCCCTCCTGCCTGGGCTCTGCCCCACTGCCTGGGGCAGACATCCCCACAGCCCTCCTGCCTGGGCTCTGCCCCACCGCCTGGGGCAGACATCCCCACAGCCCTCCTGCCTGGGCTCTGCCCCACTGCCCAGGCTCTGTCCAGCCCTGTTGCCCTCCTGACACCCATCTGTCCATCTGTCTGTCTGCACGGCTGGGCAGTTCTGCACATCCAATGAGCTGGAGTACCTGGTGGGGCGTGTCTGGATCGGCTTTTGGCTCATCCTCATTGTGCTGGTCATGGTGGCCTTTGAGGGCAGCTTCCTGGTGCGTTTTGTCTCCCGCTTCACCCAGGAGATCTTTGCCTTTCTCATTTCCCTCATCTTCATCTATGAGACCTTTTCCAAGCTGGCCAAGGTGAGCTGCGGGGGTGAGCTGGGCGGGCTGGGGCAGGGCCAGGCAGGATGGGGCTGAACAACCCACCCTCCTGATCCAGATCTTCCAAGAGCACCCTCTGCACAGCTGCCTGAGCACCAACAGCTCGGCCGAGGTCTGGGGCAACGGCACCGTGGCCGTGGCCAACACCACAGCCCTGGCCACCAGCCCGGTTGCCCGCGGTGCCACCAAGGTCACGGGGCAGCCCAACACGGCACTGCTCTCACTCGTGCTCATGGCCGGCACCTTCTTCATCGCCTTCTTCCTGCGCAAGTTCAAGAACAGCCGCTTCTTCCCTGGACGGGTACGTGGGGACGGCCGTGGGGCCGTGGGGCTGGGCTTACCCTGGGGGCCGTGGGGCTGGGCTGAGCCTGGGGGGCTGGGCCGAGCCTGGGGGGCTGGGGTGAACCAGGAGGGCTGTGGCCAGGCTGGCACTGGTGTTCCCCCAGATCCGGAGGCTCATCGGGGACTTTGGGGTGCCCATCGCCATCCTGGTGATGGTGCTGGTAGACTACAGCATCCAGGACACCTACACACAGGTGAGCAGCCACCCATCCACTGCCTGGGCAGCACACCTAACCCCGCACCCTCCTAGGGATCCCGGTGCCCCATCCCACTGACCTGGCTGTGGGTCAGCAGCTCCATCTGCTCCCAGCAGGGCTGCACCTGCTTGGTGCCAGCCTCTGACCTCCTCTCTCCCTCTGACTATGGCTTCTGGGGGTCCTGGTGCCTCTATGGTCCCCTCACTCTATGGGGCACAGCCAGTGCCCTCTCAGCCTTTGTGTCCCCCTCCCCCTGCAGAAGCTGAGTGTGCCCAGTGGGTTCTCGGTGACAGCCCCAGACAAGCGGGGTTGGGTGATCAACCCCCTGGGTGTGCAGAGTGCCTTCCCTGTGTGGATGATGGTGGCCAGCGGCCTCCCCGCCATCCTCGTCTTCATCCTCATCTTCATGGAGACCCAGATCACCACGTGAGTGCACTGGGGGTGGGCAGGGGGCATTGGTGGGGCAGGGGGAGCCCGTGCTGTGCCAACTGTCTGCCCTGCTTCCAGGCTGATCATCAGCAAGAAGGAGCGGATGCTGCAGAAGGGCTCCGGGTTCCACCTCGACCTCCTGCTCATCGTGGCCATGGGCGGCTTCTTCGCGCTCTTCGGGCTGCCCTGGCTCGCCGCAGCCACCGTGCGCTCCGTCACCCACGCCAACGCCCTCACCGTCATGAGCAAGGCGGTGGCACCTGGGGACAAGCCCAAGATCCAGGAGGTGAAGGAGCAGCGGGTCACCGGGCTGCTGGTGGCCGTGCTGGTCGGTAGGTCCTGCCCTCAGGTCCTGGGGGGACTGCAGTGCAGTGGGGAGAGGGCTGGGGAGCCATGGGGGGCTGTGGTGGGGAGGGGGCAGCGTGGGGAATGGAGCTGGGGCACCCTGAGCCCCGGCCAAATTGGTGTGGCCATCCTGTCCCCAGTGGGCACAGGGATGCAGGACCCTCCCCAGGGGAGGGGGTTAAGGGGGAGGTGAGGCTGGAGGGCTGTGCTGAGCCCCCTCCCCAGGCTGACGCTGCTCTGGCCCAGGGCTGTCCATCGTCATCGGGGACCTGCTGCGGCAGATCCCACTGGCCGTGCTCTTCGGCATCTTCCTCTACATGGGCGTCACCTCCCTCAATGGCATCCAGTTCTACGAGCGCCTGCAGCTGCTGCTGATGCCCCCCAAGCACCACCCTGATGTCACCTATGTCAAAAAGGTGGGGAGGGGGCCTGGGGAGGATCCTTGGGGCAGGACCCTTGTCTGGGACAGCAGCCAGGCTGGGGTACCCTCGTGTGGGAGCACTGCGGTGTCTGCAGGACAGGCTGTGGCAGAGCCTAGTTTAGGAGGGGGACAGAGTGGGGGGCTGTGTCTGGGGGTGTGGGTGCCCCAGTCTAGGCTGTGCCCGCGGTGGGAGGGGGACACAGGGCCCAGCTGGGGGACACAGAGCCCCAGCCCTGACAGCGCTCTGTGCCCAGGTGCGCACGCTGCGCATGCACCTGTTCACCGGGCTGCAGCTGGCCTGCCTGGCCGTGCTCTGGGCCGTCATGTCCACTGTGGCCTCCCTCGCCTTCCCCTTCATCCTCATCCTCACGGTGCCGCTCCGCATGTGCCTGCTCAGCCGCATCTTCACCGACCGGGAAATGAAGTGTGTAAGTGGCGCCGTCGCTTGTCTCCCGGGAGCGGTGGGTCGGGGGCGGTGGCTCCCGGGGCCGGGGGGTTCTCGGGGGCCAGGGGGCTCCCGGGGGGCGCTGGCCGCCCCTCAGCCGCCGTGTCCCGCAGCTGGACGCAGCCGAGGCCGAGCCCATCCTGGACGAGCGGGAAGGTGTGGACGAGTACAACGAGATGCCGATGCCGGTGTGAGGGCGCCGGCGGCTCACGGCTGGCGGTGGAGCCCGCGCGGGGCCGGGGCAGCGGCTGCGCGGCCGTGCCTGAGGGGACGGGGCCCTGCGGCCCCCAGGCCCTCGGAGGGCACTGCCAAAGAGACGCCGGCCCCAGGCTCAGCCGCTCGGACACCTGCTGCCCGTGCCCCGGGACAGGGCCCCCCGGGCCAGGGCCCCCGGGACAGGGCTGTCCGGGACAGGGCCCCCCGCGACAGAACCCCCGGGCAGGGCTGTCCAGGGCAGGGCCCCCCGGGACAGAACCCCCGGGACAGGGCTGTCCGGGACAGAACCCCCGGGCAGGGCTGTCCGGGGCAGGGCCCCACGGGTCAGAACCCCCGGGCCAGGGCTGTCCGGGGCAGGGCCCCCCGGGACAGGGCTGTCCGGGGCAGGGCCCCTCGGCCCCTCAGCAGCCCCTCAGCTCCCGCCCCACCCTCAGGCGTCGGCTGAAGCCCCCGGGGTTTATGGATCAGGCAATTCAAAGGCAATAAACAGCTTTATTCCGATCATGGGGCCCAGGGCAGAGGTGTTGGGGGACCCCCCTGCCAGGGGAGCCCTGCTCCGAGCATTCCCTGGGGTGCTACCGGGCTGGGGGCCTCCCCACCGTCTTCAACTAATAAAGAGACCGGAGTTTGCACACTTTTCACCAGTTTTATTGGAAAGTTCCCCTTTCCCTAACACCCCCCTCCTCCAGGCCCAGGCCCTGGGAACAGCCCCACGTGCACACCCGCTCCCGGCCCTGCACAGGATCCTCCACCACAGCCCCCGGGCCCCCTGCGCCCCCGGAGGGGCCGGGCAGCCGTGCTGGGGACCCAGGAATAGCCCCCAGTGCCCCGGCCAGGCCCAGCAGCAGCAACAGAGCAGGCTGAGGTGGCAGAGCCAGGGCAGGGGGGCCATGAGGGACCTTCCCCAGTAACTCCCCCCACCCCCCGGCACCCCCCAAGTCACACCCCGGCCCCCCATAACGGCAATAAATAATCTCACACTCCCCCAGCCCCACAGCAGGAGCACTGCCCACGGCCTGGCCCCACAGCCTGGCTCCCCAAGATGGGGACCATCTCCATATCCCCCTGACCCCCCGGGATGGGGGGCAGCTCCGTATCCCCCTGCACAGGGGAAGGGGCTGGCAGCACCCACCTGGCCCCCCACACCCCCCGGATCCGTCCCTCAGAAGCGCAGCTCCCTCAGCTTCTGCCGCAGGTAGTGCTTGGCCTCCTCGATGCCACTCACCTTCTCCAGCTCCGTGTAGGGCAGCTGTGAGGGGACAGGGACCATGTCAGAGCGGTGACAGCATGGCCCCACCTGTATCCATCCCCAGTACCTCCAGCCCCCAGCCCCCCTCAGCCTTCTGTGATGGTGGGAGGAAGAACCAGGGTGCAGATCCCCCCCTAGAGAAGGAGGGCATGGACAGAAGTGTGGACAATGGCACAGGAAATGCAGACAATGCCCAGCTCCAGGCTCGTCCAGCCTGAGCTCAGCCCTGGACAGGTGCTGCAGGCACAGAGAGGGAGGAACCTCGAGCCTCACGCCACCCTCGAGCCCCTGCCAGCACCCTCCATGAAAGGTGACAGGGGACTGAGGGGCTGCAAACCCTGCAGGTCCAACAGCCCTGAAGGCACCAGCAGCACTCACAGAGCAGCACCAAGGGTCATTGGGACCCATGCTCCAGCCACTGGCAGCACAGGGGAGGAATAAAGATTCCGAGGAGGTGGAGCCCCTCAACCCACGGGTTTTCACCTGGAAAAAGAAGGCTCTGGGGAGACCCTTTAGAGCCCCTTCCAGTGCCTAAAGGGGCTCCAAGAGAGCAGGAGAGGGACTTAGGTCAAGAGCTGGGAGGGACTGGGGAATGGCTTCCCACTGCCAAAGGGCAGGGCTGGATGGGATATTGGGAAGGAATTCCTGGCTGGGAGGGTGGGGAGGCCCTGGCACAGGGTGCCCAGAGAAGCCGTGGCTGTCCCTGGAAGTGTCCAAGGCCAGGCTGGACATTGGGGCTTGGAGCAGCCTGGGATAGTTGAAGGTGTTCCTGCCCATGGCAGGGGCTGGCACTGGATGGGCTTTAAGGTGCCTTCAGCTGGGTCCCTGCTGTGCCTTCTGCAGGAGGGACACAGCCCAGCCCAAACACCAGCTCAAGGGAGAGCTGGCCCTGCTCCCGGCCCAGCTACACTGCTGGGCAGCTCCCAGGTGATTCCTCAGCAGAGTCACAGGACTCTGGAGCTCTGCACAAACACTGCTGAGCTCTAGGATGAGGAGGGAGCTGTGGCTGGCACAGCCTGGCAGCAGCAGGGAGTGAAACTGTTTGGGAATGGCTGTGGGATGGCACAGTGGAGGCACTGCTGCAATCCTGGTCCTCTCTGCAGTGCAAGAGTGAACAGGACAGAGGGCTCCTTTCCAGCGCTGTTCTCCTCAGAAAGATTCATCCTCAGGCTAAAACCACCCACAGAGAAGCACGTGGGAGCTGCACATCCTAAACCAACACCTGGGTTTGCCAAAGGAGCTGCACACCTGAGGGCTCTCCCAGTCCCAGCACTCGGCAGGGAGCACCTGGGGCTGGAACAGGGTGGGCAGGGCTCTGGCACAGAAGGTGAAACAACCTCCCTCCTGCCCCCTTGGCACATGGGATCACAGGTGGACCCACGTGTGTCCCACCCACCTGATCCCACCCTGAGGCCCCACACCCAATGCTGCCCCTGTGGCTGTGTCTGCCAGCCTGGGCTGAACACCCTCCCCTTCCACTTCCCCTTACTCAGGTCGGGTCTTAGCTCACAGGACAGACTGTCCCTTGTCTCTGCTTTCCATCAGGGCTGGTGTCACCCACCAGCTGCATGGAAAAAGTCCTGCATGGGGTGGGGGAGGGGACATGAGGATGAGTCATCCCTGCTTCCTCTCACAGGGACAGGAGTGTTTACACTGGGGATGCCAGCGCTGAGCCCATCACCCACCGTGCCCCCTGGCCCCGAGGAGGTGGGGGCAGCCCCCCTTACCTGCACCAGACAGTATCCCAGCAGCCGCAGGTGCCGGTCCCGCATGGCCCGGGAGCCCACCAGGATGTCGGAGTTCTGGCAGTAGTGCCACTTGTCATTGACCGACAGCACCACCCTGCACAGGGGACAGCAGGGAGGGCAGCGTCACTCCCTGCCACAGTACCAGCCCACCCATGGACCCTGCTCCCCAGCACCGTGGCAGCTGAAGAGCAGCACCCAGCTGAGCCCAGACCCTGCTGGTGGCAGGGACAGCTGTGTGCAGCACCCAGGGACTGGGTCTGTGGGTGCCCGACAGCACTGGGCAGGAAGGGGCCAGGGCTGAGTGCCTCAGCGAGCAGGAGCCAGGGTGGCTGTGCTGCTGGAAGGGAGCAGAGCCAGGGCAGTGCCAGAGTGGCTGTCCTGCTGGAGGGGAGCAGAGCCAGGGCAGTGCCAGGGCGGCTGTCCTGCTGGAGGGGACCAGGGACACAGCCAGGGTGTGGCCCTGCCCATACCTCTGGATCTCCTCGGCTCCCTGCAGCCCTTCTTGGGGGCCCCGCTTGGGGCTGGGCTGGCACGGCGAGGGCGGGGGGCCGGGGTCCTCGCTGGCTGGGGGGCTCCGCTCCTCGGCCTGCTCCTGGGCCTGCTCCCCCTGGAAGCAGCCGTGCTCCTGGCCAGGGCAGCTGGTGGCCTCCTCCTCCTCCTCCAGGATTTTGCCGATGGGGAACTGGAAGAGGGAGGCGGCGGAGGTGCGGGGCGAGCAGTCGGGGGTGCCGGGCGGCGGCGCCGAGAGGCACTCGGAGGGGCTGCTGAGCGTGGAGCTGCCCGGGCTGGCCAGGGAGGGCTCCTTGCTCAGCCCGCAGTAATAGTCCGAGGGGGGCTGGAAGCAGGGCCCCCCCGGGGCCGGGCAGAGCGCCGGCAGGAACCGCCCAGCCCGGCCGCTCTCCCGGGGGCCTGGGGGGCTGCTGGGTGCCTCTGCAGCAAACGGGGCAAAGTCCTGCAAATCTGAGGTGAGGGCGAGGACGCTGGACCGCAGGGACATGGTGACGGGGGACGTGGCTGGGGGCGCCCTGGAAGCTGCTGGAACACGTGAGAGAGGCAGCACCGTGCCGGAGCGGTTGATCCACAGCAGGAAGTCTGCGGGAGAGAGAACAGGGATCAGCTACTGATGGGACACGGCTCGGGAACTCTGTGCCCCAGCTGGGACTCTGAGCCAGCAAACAAACACAGGGGAACCCCCCCTTCTGCAGCGGGAGCTTTGTTCCAAAGGCGGCGTCACAGGGCAGGCAGTGACAAAGCAGCCAGAGCTCATTTCTGCACCACAGGACCTCCCAGCCCCAGCCCCCCGATGCCACTGGCAGCCCACAGCCCGGGGGTTACCTGTGCAGTACCCAGGAGGCAGCACCTCGTCCTGCCGGTAGCATTCCTCCCCCACCAGCTGCCGCAGAGCCTCGGCCACCAGCCCCTTGTAGCTGCAAGGAGGGGACAATCAGGGGGGCACGGCAGGGGCTGGTATGTCCCCCCAGCACTGTTGGTGCTGACTACATCGATGTAGAGATGGGAAGCCCCAGGAGTGGGATGCATGGGCCTGGAGTTTTGGGTCTGCTGTTGGGAGTCAAGAGGGGATGGGCTCCAGTTCCTTTTGCAGAAAAGCTCCTCACAGTATTGGGACACCAAAAGCCCCCAAAAGGGCTGCCCAGCCCTGGCACCACTGCCCAGGGCAGGGGGGAGTCCCCATCTCTGAGCCATATGGATGTCCACTTGGGGACATGGTCAGTGGTGGCCTTAGCAGTGCTGGGGGGCAGGTGGGCTCAGGGGCTAGGTGACCCAGCATTGTTATGACATCTTCATCCAGATGTGCAGTCCCTTCATGCAAGCACCCTTCCTCCTCCTCTGCCCAGGTCCTGCTGGGGAAATGGGGTGTGCAGGATGCATTTCCATCATCTGATTTTTTGCTCTCCTCATTGTCAATCTGAAAGCCTTCACCTGGTATGCCAGTCTCCTGACCTCCTGTACATCCTGCTTCCAGCAGGTGGTATGCCCTGAAATGCCTGGGGTGTGGTGAGGCTGGCGTGGCAGAGAGAGGGCACTGACTGAGAATGCCTTGGGAAGGGAGCCTCTGCACCCAGCCTCTGCCCCCCGCTGCTGGTATCTCTGGCTGGACTTGGAGGCCCTTCCAAACCAGTTCTCCCTGTATGAATACCACCTCTTCTCCACTGGGGTCTCTGAGGCTTTCCCAACACAAACAATTCTGCAATTCTAAATGATTCTGTGATTCTAGA